CATAAGAATAGTCGTACTCCATTCACCCATGACGAAAAAGAAAACAAAGTGTTGATGAAATTTCGTAGTGTGAGCACATAACAAACTGTAAATATCTTGGAATTTAAAAGTTTCAGTCTACGTGCGCTATTGGCAGCTCATGTCTTAAACTGATTAGTCTGCAAGTGAGAGCATTCATTTGATTTGATTATGACCAATCTCCTTAGTTTGCAGTTACATTGTCTTCAGTTGTTAGTTAATACAAAAAAAAAGGTAGCAGAAGACATCTAGTGTCAGATTCTTTTAAGAAGTGCAACACTCTGTTTACAAAAAATATGCGCAAACAAATCATATATATATAAATGTAAACTATGCTGATCAAGACATTTTAGGAAAAATAATAAAGGTTATGGAACATAAACTCCATATTATTTTTCAAGTTTTTCTTTGTTCAAAATTCCTCCATTAAATGCTTTTGAGCTAAAGTATGTTTACGAAGTCGTTGAAAAAAAATATTGGAATTCATTCTTAAGTTCAGCAATGCAAAAATTTACTGATATACTAAAGTATTGGTGGTGCTTGTTCACTTTAAACATATTCCATACACTAATTGGCGTATTTAACGCTCACACATCAAAGAGTGCGGGTGAGAGCATATGTCGAAAGTGAACAAGTATCTTCGGTTTTATTCAATTCAAATAATTTTGTAAATGTACCAGAAGAAATAAATGCGAACAAGAGAGCATGAGTATTTTCAGAAGAAAATATACTTTTGCATATATGTGTTTGATGACAACAATAGAAAAAGTTAGTAGCATACGCAATATGAAAGAACAAATGCGTATATGCATTAGATACACACGTACAAGAGAACAATAAAAACCAACGAATCATATATTATGGTTTGTAAACAGAAAGACAATATATGACGTATTCACACACATTGGACAAATCCTGAACAATGTCCATATATTATTAATTGGAAGCAAATGTCAAAAGAAATATAACATTTGTTTAGGTTTTTTGGACATATGTGGGTTCAGATTCTATACAATTCAATCAAAGCTTTGTTGTATTGATATCACAACATCGATTCTTTGGTTTTAACCGGCACATTCATGACTAATCTGAATTATATCATTAACAAAATTACATTCATCATTGGTTGGTTCTTCGGGTACATCTCGAATAAAAGGCATATTGAGAATCTCGGTATAAGAACCAGGCCGCTGTTCAGATTCTTTCCTCAATCTATCAAAAGTTCAAAATTATAATAATAATTAGAATGAGGGTTTAGATTAGACATGTGCAGGACCAGTCCCGGTCCCGGTCCCGGTCCCGGTCCCGGTCCCGGTGGCCGGGACCGGGACCAAAAAATAGAATTTTACCGGGACCGGGACCGGGACCGGGACCAAAAAATAGAATTTTACTGGGACCGGGACCAGGATCGAAAAACAATTTAGTCCCGGTCATGTTTGCCGTTGATAAGAAACATCGGCGGAAATACAAGTGAGAACTGCTCCAGATCTAAAACCGGCAGATTCCGCAACAACTTCTCTGACTATGGACAAATAACAGAAAAAGTAAGGTTACTTAGACTGGGTGTAGAACAAAAACCAAATTTAACACATTCGACGCGATTCGGTTTTATTAAAGAGTAGCTCTAGAGATTCATTTTCGTCTGCATTCATCTTGCGATAAATGCACTGCTTGGTCTTTTCATCCTATGCTGATCTGTCGTTTTCTCTTTTCCATTTGTAATATCACATGTAGCGAAGTAATCATTCTGTAGTTTGGCGAAACCCCTGTGAGGTCATTTCAGCATGACATGCCATTCGAGAAGTTGAATCAGCAACCCAATTCAAGCGCGAATTCACTAATCGCAAGCTCGAAGAAAAGGAAGGATTTAAGGGCAATGTCCGCAGACGCTGTACTGGCTGCTTTGCGAAAGGAAGGGCACAACAGTCAAGAGAAGCGAGCTATGCGGTAGCAAAGAAAGTAAAAACGTTCTGTTGTGAGTAACAATTTTTTTTGTCTTGATTTTTTTAACAAGACCCATCATGCTATGGAATAACGG